TAGCGCTGAATATCTTGCTTGAAAAGTCTGAAGTTTAACTGTAAATTCCATATCTCCTGCCCTTTCCAGTTATGCCCACAGTGGTTCTAAATTCCACCTGAGTTCCTACCAAAAAATAGCTGGAGATAATGGCTTTACAGCATTTAAGAAGACCAAGCATATACACGAAATTCCCATCTTGTACCCATGCTGAACACAGGTACCACACAAACACACAAGAGAAAGTCAAAGGGATGTTTGAAAAGCATTAACCCACTTTACCTAGGAAAATGCCATATTTGCATAGATGATTACTCTACATACAAGTAAGCAGATGCTATTAAGGCCCTGCTGGTAGACATCACACACAAGTCTTCCAGTGAATTCTGTGGGAGATTGATACTGAGGCCCTGATGCTGGCTAGGCTTAATCCTTGATTCTAGCCCAAAGTAAAGATCACATGAAAGAGAAAGATCATGTTTCGTTTTAAAGGATCTGATCCTGTAAACACTTGAAGAAGCAAGTAGTTTTACTTACATGAATCATCTGCAGATCAGACTCTCCCAAAAATCAAAGAATAAAACTGACACCATAGAAGAGAATAATCTCAATCTGAATGACCTCTGCTAATGGAAATGCTGATACCTTTAGACATATTCACCTGAGTAAGCTTGTGCTTGATGCAAAATATTTAAAAGTAAGTAACGAAAATGCATATTAATATCTGCTCAAATGTAAATGCGATTGGTCAAATTCCAGTTTATTTCTCAAGGCAGATATGGTTAAAAGAACTTCTCACTGCAGTGGCTTGGAGGTATTACCCCAGCCACAAAACATCCAACTTCATAAAGGATTTGTATTATTCAGATAAGGTAATATTATTTTGCAGAAGAGATGATGCCGAGTGCAACAACCACTTTTAAAAAAAAAAAAAAAGCACTGGTAGTTTATATCTGTATAAATCTGGAGTAAATCCATTGATATTCTGAGTAACGAAAAGATCTTAGTTCATTATCTTTTTCCCAACCTAGCATCCTCACTTCCCTCTTTTTCATTTACAAGCATTTCAGTAAACTATCTGATCCTAGTATTCATTAATTTTCTTTGTCATAAAACTATAAAAAAATCCACCAGATTAAACTAACATTTTGTCAGATAACCCACGAGTGTATGGGCAGTTTTACATATAAAATTTGAACTGAAAGTACAGAGAAATTAAACTTTTCATAATAATAAAACAGCCAAATAAATTCCAGATTTGCCATGGAAATACTGATACTCATGAACTAATAGCAGCACTTGACCACAGCCTAGCCATATAGACTCTACTTCTGCACTGAAACTGCCCTCTGCATAGCAGCCCAATCATACCTCCTTACATAATTCTGGATTAGTTCTTTGGGGTTGAGGCTTTTATCTTTCTCTTGGATTATAAAGCAGAAAGCACACTATTTGCACAGCATAAGCAACAGCATTTACAACTTGTTAGTCATAACCAAATATAATTATGGACAGAACACTGTTAAACTACACTAGGAGAAATCTTTCATAGCAAAGAATTAAATCTTAACACTAGCCTTAGCCAGTGTTTGTTATCGCAGCCTGCTTTTCCCTCTGTAACAGCAGACAGAGAGGGCTGGGGAGCAGGGCGACTGAGGAACTCGATCCTGCAGATGCTAAATGTCTCTAGCAAGATCCAGCGCTTTCTCAACTTCAGTCAACTTCAGTGGGAGTTACGGATGTTCAACACGTCACATAAACAGGTCTATAAACTCCAACAGATTTTTGCACATCACTTACCTGAATATGAAAGACACTAAAATTAAATGAGGCAAGATAATTAAGACTGTGTACACTCTAGTGCAAACTGAAGGCCATATCTTGTCACACCCTCAAGGCCATATAGTGTTACACTCTGATTTCAATCTGAAATCTAAATATGAACCAATAGCCTACTATTGACTTAAAAAATACAATATATTTGTTTGTTTTCATTTTATAGAGCCATAATGGATAGGGAGGGAAAAAAGATCCTAACAAATGAAAAAAAATAAAACCTTGAAAACATAAGACTGATGGAGACAAAATGTATTTTGCCGCACATTCTTAAAGTCCTCTGCCTGTACGCACAGTCAATAACGAGCAAAGAGTTTGGTCATGCCAGCAAAACATTTCACAGAGAAAGGCCCTCTATGCATCAAGAGAACATGAACTGAATTTTTAATAAAATGTTAGCCTCAAAGCAATTCAGAATATTGCATGTTGAAAAGACAAGGACAATAATATCGAAACAAAAGCGATTCTATAAAATTGCTCCCCAAATAGCAAACAGTGAACTTGAAATGTGACAAAAAAGCAGGATTTGCAAAGCCTCCTAACATTGCGGTCATATTACAAGGTAGTGATTGCTTCAAGAACAATGAAATACTTAGATATAAATATTTACCCTACGTAGCTAAATTGAAGAATGTAAACAGATTCCCCATATATAGTATAATATGTCAATATCTTTACTGCTGGAAATGGAAATGATAACTCAGGCAGACCACTGATCCTGAAAGAGGAGTATAATCCATTACTTTCTTCACCTATCAATCATCTGCATCCTTGCGTGTCTTGCAGTTGACTGCTCCCCTGCCTTCCAGATCGCGTTTCAAGGCACTGAACAACTGTTTTTGTACCTGTTCACTTTTCATTCTCTCTTGTTCACAGTTCCTCTACTGCCTTGCCAGGTGAAAGCTGCTTGTTTCAGAGCTAATCCATTTTCGTCCCTTATTCACATCTTTTCTTTTTCCATTTTGTCTCCCACTCCACTAAGATGGTCCTTCTGGTCTCTGAAATGCCATCTTAAATTTCACCTCTTCTGCAAGGCCCGCAAGTTTTAGCCACCTCCTAAACAATAAAATTTGATCCAAAGCTCACTGAAGTCAGTAAGAGCCTTTCCATTAACTTCAATAGACTATGACTCAGGATCAGATTGCTGTCAGTAACTCAGGAGTAAAACCTAGTGAAAGAAAAAACAAAAGGATCTGGACAAGTTTCCCTGCTGTTAATAGCAGATTGCCGCTTGAATATAGTCATAGTAATATTAGATCATAAGTTAATTTACTAGTTAATCCAGTGCCTTTTTTCCCAACCTTATGCAACAGACTAAGGGCCTAATTTTGCTGCATAAATTTGGAGCAATGCCAAAGACTTCTAACAGAGTTTGAATAAATAAGCATACAACTTGATCCTATGCCATCCTTTATGTGCTAAAAAAAAATCACTCTGCCTGGATTTAGGTAGGTAAACTAGGAAAAATTTGTTGTCTTCATAAACCAGTTTAGTAAAGCTTTACAAAAAATAGAGCTAACATGGCTGTTTAGATAGAGTAATAGAGTACGTGGAAAACACAGTGAAAAGTTTAAAGCTACTATGTTTTAAATTCTCACTACTAAGGATGTGCAATGCTATTCTTGTAAGGATCCTATTTCTAATCCTATATTATTAATCGTAGACCAATTTGAACAAAAAGCCTTCCAGAATTCAGAATGTGTAATATAAGTCCACTTCATTCTTCCGGCTTTATAAACATCCTGCTATTTACTCCCTCTTCATTTAATCCTCCCTCTTCCCACTTCAATTCTTGGATATATATTTATTAGAAGGACAAATTAAAATAAGTTAATTTTGCCCATTCTTCCTTCTCCTTCCATACGTTCAATTTTTTATAGGTGCCCTGGGTGTAAAGTCAATGTCTTTGACTACAGTCTCGCAGAGCTCTCATCAAGTGCTATGGAGAACATGTTCTAATAGACAAATCGAGGGATGCAATAGAGCATAACTTTCAAAATATACAAATGTTATATAGAAGATTCTGATGTTCTTATGGAAAAAGATATCATTCTCAGACAGCAACTATCACCAATATAAAGCTAACATATTACACATTTTTTAAAAGGTATGTAGTGATCTGAGGCTATTTCAGCAGCTGTTTGACACTAATGGCAACAGGCATTTGAAAAATATTTACCCCATATTGTACTAACCGTGGCACTTTAAAAGGAGGGGGAAGGAATAAAAGGAACACTGCCTCATTTTTATTGCCACATAACTTTGCCAAGCGTGTCAGCAAACACAAAGTTAGATGACCTTCGCTTAAGGGATGTAGGTTTTTTTTGTTTGATTTTTTTTTTTTAAGCACAGATGTGTATGCTGATACTTTTGTTCTAGTGAAGTACACTCCACCGTCACAGCTTCAGCTATGGAAGAAAACACTTTGTAGAAATGAAATTACTGCTGCAACAGGGTTGCTTATGATGTTGTTTAATACAAAAAGGAGCCAGGGAACAGTACATCAATAGGAGGTGGAGTGTGTATACAGAAGAGGGGTCTTACTTCTAGTCTGCTATCTGATATTGAGGGAGGAAGAGAAGACAAAAACAAATGAATTTTCTTTCTAGCACTGAAACATGCAGAGATGAATCGCTTATTACAAGTTGTATGCAGCATAGATAGATTTAGAAATGTTCCAGTATGCTTAATCTTTACAAATTTTTTAAAAGATATTTAACACTGATATTTTACTTCAAAACTAGGAATTAAGCAATGAGTGAATAGGATCTGAAATACAGACAAGGCATTGTTTACATCACGTTAAAAGGCATCTTTTTATGCAGCTTTGGATTTCTAAACTTAGGCTGAACAGGATTTTTAGTTGTTTGGAATTTGAAATGCAAGATGAACTTTTCACATCACATCTATTCTCTTTAACTGGAATTGTAAATATACAATAAATTGCTGTGTAAAGGCAACATGCAGAATTCAAACCTATTTGTTTCTTGCAGGATTCTGTTGACCTATGCATGAAGAGGTGTTGAAGCAGTGGTGCAATGAGAATCACTACAAATCCAAAGCTTGAGATCCTAGAGGCTGGATCTGTAAGCAACACCAAGCATGCTGTTCTCCAGAATACATCACTTTTAACAAAGAAATCTAGTGTCAAGACAGCTGCTTCCCAACTTTCTTTTTTTTTTAAAAAAAAAAAAAAAGAGGGGGGTGGAAAGAGCTTATGCATTATGAAGGTATTTAGCAGAGGGCTGCAAACAGAAAGCGAAAAGAGACAAGTATTTGAAATATGATCAATTTCAACCAGCACTGTGAAAGCATTTCCCCTATTAATATCTTACTAGGGTTGGCTGGGACACAATTTGGGTTGCAGCTACAGGCTGAAGCAACAGTGTTGAGAAACAAAACAAACAGCCCTTTGCTCCCCCCCCCTCCCCTTTCCCCTCCCAGCTAGCAAAGTATGACTGATGCTTTTGGTTGGCTGCAAGGCAAATGTTAGCTAAAAATTCATTTAGCTAAAACCACATCCATGGCCCCCCATGTTTAAAACTTATCATGGATTAAAGCCATGAAATAAAAATAAAAAAATTTCAATTTGAAATTTTATTTAGCGTGTTGCTAGAATGGTCAACATCAATCAACAGGAGAGACTTTGTCCACATACTCAGAGAATGCTTTTGTGCACCTCCCCCCTCTTTTCTTCCTCTTTCTTTCAACATTAATGCTATTTAAAGCCAAACAAAATACTGGCTATGGGTGTAAAGAACGCTGGTTTTTTGGAATGTTGCCATGGATCCTGCTTCCAGTCGCGTCCCACGGAAAGAGGGTGCAGCCTCCTGTCTCTGTGGCAGGCCGGTCTCCCCAGGCAGGGGAGGAGGAATGTAGCCGTGTACCCCTGCTGTTCGCTATTCTTTCCCATCCACTATAGCCAAGTCTTTGATCACCCTCAGTTTGCCACTGGCATCGATCCTGCGCTTCTCCCGTATTAGATCCTCCAGGCTGTGGAACCTCACCGTGTGCACCTTGTTCTCAGCCAAGTGGATCTTGAGATAGTATTGCTGCTGGTGCTGGGTGCCGGCAGCAGCCTGCAGCTCCCCCCCGGCTTTGAACTCCCTTTTCCCAAACCGGCACCAGGCGGCGAAGCTTTCAGAGTTAGTCCAGCAGATCTCATCGCTTTTTAAGCCCAGGTGCCCGCAGGCGTTTTGCACAACCAGCTCAGCCACCAGCGGGCGAAAGCGGTACCAGCTATTCACCACCCGGCCCACGTTGCCTGTGGCTGCCTCGTACAAGCTGTCCTGGCGGATCTGCCCCTGGTGCAGGTGGATGATCTGCCCGCTGCCCACATACACTGCCCAGTGCGGTGGTGGGTGCTCCGATGGCCCCAGGTAGAGCAGCTCCAGCAGGTCTCCCGGCTTGCAGAGGGCAGGCAGGGCTGACACTGAGTAGACGCTGAGGTCCCCAGCCTGGGGGTCGCTGCTGACCTTGGAGAAGATGCATTCCTGGCCGTGGAAAGCCGAGAACTGGGTCTCGTTCAGCACCAGCTGGTGGTGGAGGTGGTGGGTGGGCGTCTCCTGGCCAGGGCTGCCGGAGCCCTTCACGCTGTACTTGTCTGGCTGGCCTCGCTCGTCCAGGTCCTCCTCCTCATCCGAGAAGAAGTAAGCCACCCCGACGCGCAGCTCGTCTTTCTCGATCCCCGAGGGGTCCCCGGTCGGCAGCTCGCTGTAATTCAGGTGAGTGATGCGATCCAGTTGATTTCCCATCAATGACAGGGCGAGGAGAGGGCAGGAATCGCTGGATCTGGAGGAAGGGTGGGGTAAGCAGGGAAAGAAAGAACAAGAGAGGAGAAAGGGAGCACAAATGGAGAGAGGAGGGAAGGAAAGAAAGGAAAAAGGAAAAAAAAAAATCAAAGCATATACAAGAGATTTCAGAGATTCCGCCCCAACCCTCCGCTCCATTCCCTCCCCCTCCCGCAAAGGGAGAAACTCCCCGTGCGGATCCTTCCCCCCGCGCCGGTGTGCTC